AGAAATTCAAAACGCGTCGAATGTAAAAGCTTGCGATACTTACGTTTTCAAAGTAGTATCCTTTGCTGACAGAAACTTACATTTGGAAAATGTGAATAACAGTAATAGAATTGTGTTTGTATATCTTTTGAAAGATACTGGGAATCAGTGCATCCAATAAAAACCAATTCTACCATCAATTTGTCATACTTTGTATAATTTTATGTTTTATTTTACTAAGTTGCATTTACATAACTATTTGTAACATTTATAGACATTTCTTTTTTTTATATTTTAAGTAATGAACTTTTACTTTTTAAATGATCAAAACAACAAAAGCTTTAAGCAAAAACAGTTTTATTTTAGGAACTGTAAAAGGAAATAACTAGAAGGATACTAGAATTAAACGAAATATTTAATTAATAATAAGTAATATTTTTAATAATAATATAATTTTTAGTACAAAAATGTAGATACTTTTGTAATCATAAATGCAACATAAATTATTTAAAAAACTTGATATATGTAATAAGAAAAGGAAGTCTGTTCATTTTTTTCCATATTACATTAATGTAGAAAGTATTCTAGATATTGAATTAAAGTATGGATGTATATCTGGGAAGTACTACGTATGATAACAAAGAATTTATTATTAAATTGTCTGGTAAAATTAATATGGTACTGAAGACTTTCCTTACCAAGGAATTTTATAAAAATTGTTATTTACTGACCTTTTTACTCAAGTAAACCATTATAGTATATTGCATTATAAGCTGTTGAAATTGATATAATGAATACACGTAACAAATACAATTACTTTTACTATGTTAAGAAACTTCTAACAATTATATTTTGGTATAGAAACTAATTTTGAATGTTTTTATATTCCACAGGACCACGAGCATGGTGTCCGGTTTCGCTGGTGAGAGTCAACTATCCGTTGGTGTCAGCAGTGGCAGTGGCAGTGTTGGTGGTCCACTTGGAACATTTAGCTCGCTTGGCACACTTAACACAAAACCACTTTCTTCAAGCTCCTCATCTGCCTCTGGGCGCAGTGAGGATGCGCAACAATATGGTAGCCTTCCAGGTAGTGATCATCAAAGTCACTCACAACAGGATGATAGTGGGCCTGAAGAAAGCCCTGTATACATTTTGACTTCTGCCAAAGGTGATCGCAGTTATAAGTTGAGAGATTCCAGGTAAGTTACTATTTCCCAGTATAAATGATATATTTTAACTTTATTTGAGGCATATAAACTTAATATATTACAATTAAAAAATAAATCAATTATAAATGATAGTAATTTATCATGTAGAAAAAAAAAATAGTAAAATTTGTACATACACTTATAAGAATGTGTGAAATTTTAAGGAACAAATTTGTTAAGGTATTCAAGAATTTTCAGAAATGTTGAACTAACTTTTAATAAAAATTTTAATAAGAAATACAAAATATTATACTTATTAGATATTCACAAATAATAAAATGAAATAACATTTTGAATTTTTCATTTTAATTTACATTTTTAATAAGCCAAAGAATAACCAGGGTTAAATATAGTATATTTTTTCCTTTCTGGTATATTTAGGTATACTATATAAATAACTTCGAAATTAAAATGAATAATGAAAAATAAATTCGCCTATATAATTATTTCTTTATTTCAATAAAAGTCACCAAACACTTAGATAAAAGCATCTTAATAATTTTTGTAATTTAAAGTAACAAATTTGAAAACCGTCATTTTGACGGATTTAGTTGTCTAGTGCTGAAAACTCAAACATCTTTAAATATTTTGTTTATATGAATGCTATAAACCTCATTTTGAAACAGTCGACAAACATGTCAATGACACAATCGAAGTATAGTCGATAAATATTATATGGCAATTGATATTAGGTTAGATTTCATCAGTTTTGGTCTTCATGTTTATTTGCTGTGATAAATGAACAAAATGTACTGGATAAATTATTTACAGCAACAAAAATAAACTTTTAAAGAAGTAAATTTGTTAGTGAAGTGTAGGTAATAACTACGTAATAAATGATGCATTTATATTATAGTAAAGCTACCTATGTATTCTTTGTTTACACTGTTTATATATCTACTAAGTGAAGATTTTAATTACGATAAATAATTTAAAGTGTTTTCGAAAATGCTACTGTGTTAAAGTAAAAATTTATTTAGTGAAAATCTATTGAATATTGTGTACACGTGTAATAAGTGTGTTTTGGTTTTAATCTGTTTAAAAAAGTTTATTAAGTGATGAAATATTAAATATTTGAAAAATTTTTATTATTTTTCACACAAATTTATAAACGAGTACTATTAATACAATATATTCTATCATGTTTTGTGTTTTTTCTAAGATTTACAAGAAACTATGAATTGTGCAATTTTTTAACAAATATATTTAATTGTTTAATTACTC